TATTCATTCCGAATACAATTTTACGATACACTTAATTTCAACAGTCGCTCTATAACAAATGCTATAACTCACGTCTCACGTGGCCAACAATATTCTGTCCTCATACATTCAATTACTCATTACCTGTCCCGTCACGTTGTGACCATCTTATATATACCAGACTACCCCCAATCTAGTAGTCTCCCGACAATTCACGAAGGTTCAAAAAGGACGTGGCGTGATACTAGTCACATGACCTCGCTGACGCAACAATATTATATATTTTACATTCAATTTGAATTTTTATTTATTACTATTGTCAAACAGCACTACTAAAAGATTGATATAATAAGATCTTAAAATTTGTAAGCAAACTTTTAATGAGGATGTGTGATTAACTCACTGCACAATTTTTTGGTGTGTAGAGCATAAATCAATACGAAAATTGTTAGTTTGATCAAATTGCATAATCAAGGTGCAAATTAGTAATAATCATAATATTTTTAGCTATATATATATGATAATCAAAAATACAGATGTTATAATTTTACATGTATTTAGACTGTTTCATGTCAGTATGGGAGCAGAAGTTTATAAAAAAACTAAAAAAACTCACCAGGAATAGGACTTATTTGTATCATTTTCTTTTTCCTTACTGGCCTGACGAGACTTTGACTGAAGACAACCCATTTGATGCTAACTGGTATTAAATCTTAAGCAGCTGTTGATTTAAAAGTAACAAATTACTTGTGAACAAGAAAAGTGTTAAAAATCTCACAGACAAGACACTTGGTTTAAAAAGCTTTTAGTGCAAAAATAAAGTACAAACTACTGCATAAGTATAATGTGTCTTTGGGGCTTTAAGATTAGTAACTTTATCCTCATGATAACCCCAAAGAACTGGATTTACAATTACACTCTGGAAAGAAAGAAAGAGTCAAATAATTTCTAGTAATGTGTAATATACCTGGTCTTCAAATTACTTTGACGTAAAAGTTATACATAAAAGTTTTTAAATAGTCTGTTTAATAATATGGATGTTAAATACTACATTAAATAGCTGAAGGACCTATCATCACTTTGTTCATTCTTAAGATAAAAATTATGAATTTTTAGTTACATATCGCTCAAGATGAGCTAAATGAATGCCAACAAATTTCAACAAAATTGCAAAAATTACCTAACTATAATTTTAAAAAACCTGTATTTTTAGTCACATGATCTTGTATATGAAACTTTCGAGTTCATGCTTCCAGTAAAAATAAATTTGAAAGTCTACATATAATAAACCTTTATATCTATTCATTGACTATTTTTACAACATACCAGGAAATTAAAAAAAAATATAGGAGTTGCATACAAGACCAGTTGTACATGTGACATACACTAACGTATAATACTAATGTTTGGAAAAGCACTAAATTACTGTACTTCAAAACATTTAAATAAGGAAATATGTTTGAAACAATGTATCTTAGTTAATATTTCACATCAAAATTTTGGACAAGGGTTTTTTGCTTTATCATTTATATTGGTTACATATGTATATCTAGTCTACACTTTCACTTGTATTGAAAAAAACAAAATAAGTTTTGTGCTCTAGATACAGAAATTTTAAATCTAATATCAAGAAGGTTATCATAACCTCTTATAACTATGGTGAGGCTATTTGGATTGCTGTGTGAATTTTCCATCTATTTACTTCAAAAATGGAACTGTTATATTTCACAGATAGGTTACTTAAATGACATTTGAAAAATTTTCAATTATGTTTACAGGCTTAACAGTTTCAAACATATTTTTCTGGTACACAGAATAATAGGTTCAAATATTCAAAATCATTTAGGTTTGAATGACATTTCTGTTGTAACAGCTTTGAAGTTTCATGTGCAGACTTGTGTTTCATAAAAATTATTTTCTGCTTTCTTAAAAACTTTTCCAATAATATTTACCTTTACTAATGGTATAGGGACAATAGACTTTTTTTTCAACTTTTAATGGATAAGCAAGGAATTTTAAGACTATATTTAATATAGTTAAAATATTTCGAATGGTTATTGTGTGCAAAAGGTATGACATCAGTTGGCTAAATGACCTTCTGTCAAAAGCTTTTGGCAGTCAATTATTACTAGTTAAGTAACATTAAAAAGACCTTTAAGTTTGTTATATATAATAATCAATTAAAGCTCACCTCAGTGCTCAAAATATGCACAATATTTCTAATTTTTCTACTCTACAGTCAACAGTACATATGTATCTCACTAATGTTGGTACTGGAAGCCTGTATAAAGTTTAGAACTTGAATATATGTCATTAACTTTTAAATTCAATCCTATAATCAAGTAAAAAACTATTGATACAGTATGAGTAATGAAAGAATAACATATCAATTAACAATAAGGTGATATAATTCTCTTAATGCAGGTTCTAGAAGTAGTAGTAGTCCAGTGCAGCAGTTAATATTTTATGTTTTTCATTTAACTATATATATATATACTGTAATAAAGACCTTATCTCTTATGTTAGAGGCTAAATCATCACTATAACTTATAAACAAATGTTGGGCTAACTGGTACATGACAGTTGTGACAACTCATAAATAAAACAGTGTGAGCATTGATTAAACTGTAAATAACTTTTATGTTATAGCATATGTAATTAGTAAAACTAATAGTATACTTATTAATTATTATACAAGTTAACTCACACAGACTAGTAGGGTTGCCACCTGGCTAGTTTTTTATGGATTTGCCAATTACCAGAAAAACAATTTCTTTTCTTATGTGGACCTAAAGATATGCATTATTATCATATTACATGGGGATATCTAATGTTTAATGTTTCTTTAACCACCTAAAGATCACTGCTGCAGTGTTGCCACTTCTGCAGTTATAGCAATGTGCAGAGGATATTAAAATGACAACACTTATTATCAAAAAGGTACTTTTCAAGCATCACGAGCCACAACTTTTTCTTGCGGAGGATTGGAGTGTTAGAGGAGATTACGGATACTGTGGGTTGCCTCTGGTATAAATATGGTAAAACTCCATAAGAAGTAAACCAATCCTTCTTTATTCCTATTCACTAGGTCTTATAAACACTTTTATGATCTAAAAACTATAAATTGAATTTTTGCATATTAACACTTAATAGTGTATTGCAATTATTATTATTTTTTATTGTAAAGTCCTACAAGACCCTGTATTCCATTAATTTTAAAGCTAAAATCCTTTTTTTCTTTCCCAATAACTTGCAGCAAGCAAGGTTTGGAATCTGGTAACTTTTTGTAGTTGTTGACGATCTTTATGACAGAGAGAAAAAAAAAGCTCTTTTGGAGCATAAGTGCAGGAATGCAGTGGCTTGAGCACACACTGCCACCCCATGTGCATGTTACTGGCCAATTAAGCGATTATGAATGAAAACTGCTGCAAAACAACATCTGTCTGTCTATTGTGTGTGGGAGTTTGAAAATATGCTACTAAAAGTGGCTTATGTAGTACATTAGTATAGTGTGCTATCAATGGTATAGAGAGAAGTTGCAAAGTGGGGTACTTGGCTAGACATGCAGATTTTACAATGAGATGGAAAGTACGGGGAGTTGCTAAAAGTAACTCCCATGCTGCCAAAGGCAGCTCAATCTAGGGACATACCCCCCAGAAAATTAATATAATAATATAATTTACAGTTGCTATACAAGTCAAATATGTAAAAGTACATCACCCCCGGTTCCGACGCCTCTGTGTATTAACAAACATCTAATTTTAGTTTTCCAGTTCACTGTTTGAGGTGTATGTGTGTGTGTTTGTTTTGTTTATTGGTTGTTGTTTTTAGGGAAGGGGTACCAGTTTTTTTTGCATTTCAAAGGTGGTAATCCTACAGACTAGTTTATTCAATTTTCGTGACTGTTCAACTGTAGCTTAAGCTTTAAGTTAGACTTAATAATTTTCAGTAATTTAGCTAGGCCCGAAACACTAGAACTTCGAAGTTCAAATTTACGTTGTTCGTGCAAAATGAACACACGAGTACAATACTTATCTAAACTTGACACAATTCAGTACAAGTTACGTCAGTTGTAAGTGGAAATTAACAAAGCTGTAGATTAAATTCTAATCACACAGATTCTAAACAAAGCATTTTGAAATACCTGTACACTTAAATTTTGAATAAAACAATGAGCATTACGTCTTTCCATCGAACAAATATATTTATAGTTAAAGCATTCACTTCACCCGACCACCAGAGGCCAGTCACTTAAGCCACTCATTGTGCTGTATGTGCGTGTGTGTATATATACACAATATTATTTAAAAATCGCCAAAAAAGGAAACACACAAGCTTGAGGTTGGAGACTTAGTGTTGACATTACTTCTTCATGCCATGAATCCCTATTTAAACTTGATAACGAGGAACCAACTTTTTAGAATAAAAATTTTGAGACGGCTTGCTGAGGATGACAAAATCTTGTCGAAACGTCGTACATTCATAACAAAGTTTTTTCATTACCCAGTCAAGCCATTTCAAAACTTTTATACCTCAGTTTGACTCCATGTCTAAACGCTATAATATTGTTATGTCTCCGTTCGTTAGTTAATTTTCCGTAAATTCTTTCCGACTAAACTTTAGCGACACAAGTCCTTTCTTAAATAAAACTGGTTTATTCTTTCCGAATACAACTTTACGATACACTTAATTTTAACAGTCGCTCTATAACAAACGCTATAACTCACGTCTCACGTGGCCAACAATATTCTCCGCATACATTCAATTACTCATTGTTCCATCACGTT